CATTTTAAATAAGTCAATATCATTGAGTGCTTTAAAAGATCTAGAAATGCTTTGTTTTTCTGGGAGTTGAAGTCCACACATCTTAAAGCTGCCAAGGTTGAGAAACACTGGCCTAAGCAGAGAGGGTGAAGGTCAGGGGCAGGAGAACCGCATACCTTTGATGGATCCATAATAACTGTAGGGACAAAGTTGAGGAATATGTGGTTGCAGTCGGTGCGCACGTTTGTGTTGTTGAAAGCCACTTCCAGCTCATCCATGGCTTCTAAAAGCAAGCGCTCTCCCTCATTTTGCAGGTATTCAAACGATGCTTCCTGTAAAAAGAACCTCCTTTCGTTAATCCTCTCTGAGTGACCCATGTCACCCTAATGGTTTGCAAAGAGGATCAGGAGCTGAATAAAGGCAAGTCCTTCTGCCATATTTATTTCTCATTGCCAGTTCAAATTCTTCCTTCATCCAGAAGATCAAGACCTCTTCTCTCTTCTTCTGAAGTTCAGGATATGGAATACTGGATTTAAGTTACAGAGAGAAAGAATCTGGCTGTGCCAAAGAAATGTTGTTCACTGACTACTTTTGAAGTCAACACCTTGGCTTGCTACAAGCTTCAAAGCTTAAGGCATCTATTTGCTCCAAAATCAAAGAAAAGCTGAAAATATTGGCCCTACCTACCTGGATATTATTACACCCCTTCCCACATCCTCTGCAGCTGTCAGAGGCCAAAATGTTTTTAAACAACAATGACTACTTCTGGTCACACATTATTTACCCATGCTTTAAAATACTGCTTTAAAAGTGTCCTTCCATTGTCCTAACACAGGATGAATCTCAGCCAGCAGGTCTTACCTGGAGTTCTCCAAGATCTCTTTCTAGCTTTTTTTCCTCTGCCATGACCTTATCTGTCACTCTCCAATTTCTGTGACCCCTACATAATCACAGCACAGGACACCAATAAATGAAGTCCCACCTTAGTCACCAAGTCCGAATGGCGGATGATCGCCCGTACAAAGAATCGGTAGTCGGTAACCTCAGCTCCTGCCTCAACTTTCGCTGCCCCCAGATAGAGGTGCATTTTGTGATTGGCACATGGGATGGCGGTGAGGTCAAAGTTGCGCATTCGGTTCAGCTCCAGCTGGAATGCCAAGGCTGGCTCCAAGTGGCGGTAGATTCTGTCCTCTTCAAACTGGGAAAGAAGCAAACTCATTTTACATAACTGATGGTAGACAAAGAGGAAGTATGACATCCACTAGGGTTTCTCATCCCATATAAAGCCTTCAGGAAGGAGTGGCATACAAATAAATAAATAAATAAATGAAAAGATAAAATCAAATAAATACATAAGCGAATAAACCATTTATTGAATTAACAGAGCATATAGTTTATTTCCCCTTCATGGATCACTGCCTTGTCGTGGCGAAGGGGCTTG